CTTCTCCTACCCCCGCTCCCTGCCTCCTGCTACCACTCCTCACTCAGCACCCTCGCCGCCCCCCTGGCCCTCCTGGTGCGACGACAGAGTCAAAGGCCCGTGGGGGGTCAGCACCCCTCTGAGCTCTGGACACTTCCACGACGTACCCTCCCGGGAGGGTCTGTAAACTGTGGGTTGTCTACTACGCACGCACACGAGTCGAGCGATCCGGGAAAAGTCCGTGAATTTGGAATCTAATCCGGCAAAACCAATGGGGAAGTCGTCATTATAATAACGTCCACGACTCGCCACCTTAGCGCTCAATTGTCAATCACCTCCATCGGTACTCAATGTCAACCGAGATTCTGTCGGCGCCTATTGTCTATTAGGAAGAATATTTTAGAACATTTCCATAAATACGCAATTCCAGGCCCCCCAAAAAGTCTGGTACTTCGAAATACGGTCGTGACTCGACACCCTGTACGCAGTGCGGATTGCCCCTCCCCCACCCTCCTCCCCCTTTTTCTTCCTGGTCTGTCGGAGGTTTACCTCTTCCTCCCACCGCGCTCTGATCTGCCACCGTTCCCAGGCTGATGTGATCGGCAGGTAATTGGGTTTGGGGCAGTCCGGGCCGCTGTGGGTCGGTGAGCTAGTTCGTGGATGCGTGGCGCCCTGACCCGCTGCTTCGTGGCCGTGCAGTGCGTGGGTGACATGAGTCATGAGTCGCCCAAGGCCACTCCGCTCCGCACTGCTTCCCATTCTGGCCCCTAAACTCCCAGCTTCTCAATATTTCTTCCCTGGGTGTTTCTTCTAAACGCCTCAATCACCTTTCAGCATCTCTTCCTCCACCCCATGATACACGAGTTTTGACCGTGAACTTGTCTCTTGTTCTGTTGCAGGGTCTCTTAGACAAATATCTGATCCCTAAGGCAAGCAATGCAGAAAGCAAAGTTTTCTACCTGAAGATGAAGGGTGACTACTACAGGTATCTAGCAGAGGTCGCACAGGGTGAAAACAGAAACAGTAAGTATATCAACGATTTACCTTACATTAAGATACTTTTCATGCCCGGGGAAATGACAAATGAGATCCGAGCAATTTGTCTGGGAATATTAATACTATACAGTGTTTTGAGACTTAAGAATTAAGAATACAGAGCATGAACTGATGTTTTAATGGAGAAAGCTTTGAAATTTACCATTCTTTTTAAGTGTTTTAAGTGCTGAACATAAAATCAACAAATTTTGCTGATACCTGAAAGAAATTCTGTTTTTTATTATTTTGTCAATCAATGGCATGTGTGATGTGTACATGGCTCATGCTGGTCAGTAGTCTCTGGCAAGTAATTTTGTGCTTTTTAACAGGTGTAAAAAAACGTTTCAAGATTTGGACAGTTGCTCCAATGCTTTGGCTGGAAAATGAATTTACACCTTTTAAAGAAGCCTATTACTTTTGAACCCTTTTGCATCCTACTTCTAATTTATCATATGTTTTAATTGCTGTGTTCTATTTATTGATCAATCGTTTTCCTTGTAGATATAGGTAGATTTCCTGCTCTCTTTGCAACAGATTGAAAAAAATGCCATTGTTTCCTTTTTAGCCGTGGTAGACGACTCCCAGAAAGCCTACCAAGACGCGTTTGAGATCAGCAAAGCCAAGATGCAACCTACCCACCCAATTAGGCTTGGCCTAGCACTCAACTTCTCAGTGTTCTACTATGAAATACTCAACTCCCCAGATAAAGCGTGCCAGTTAGCTAAACAGGTTGGTTTGTTGTCTTGGCAACAAAATTTTTTCCAGACAATCGCTAATACTGTAGATTCCACGTTTGCACTGTTGGTGATAGTCTGAGAAAAGATCTTGAAGCCTCCTTTCCAGGTGGTGTTGGTGGTGGTTGCAGTGCTGGGTCATGGACAGAGCATCCAGAGTAGATTCAAATTGAACTCATAAATTCTATGGTGCTCACATGAGACAATTTTTGTAGCTGTGGTGGACGATTCCCAGAAAGCGTACCAGGAGGCGTTTGACATAGCGAAGTCAAAGATGCAGCCTACACACCCTATCAGGCTTGGCCTAGCCCTCAACTTCTCAGTGTTCTATTACGAGATTATCAATTCCCCTGCAAGGGCCTGCCATTTGGCTAAACAGGTATTGTCTGTCATTGGAGCCCTTCAGAAAACACTCTGCATACAGTTTGCATTTTTTGCCCAATTGAGGTCATAAATTGTAGAAATTAGGCAGTTACTCACCCTGCTTAAAGTGTGTACTCTAGAAACCTTAATTTGATAACTTAACAAAATACAAATTTCATGTGTTTGCAGTCTCTAAGTTTGTTAATAACAGTCTAACAAATGTGTGAAATGTCTGCATGATTAAAATACCTCATCTGCGAGATGAAGCTATTTCAGAAATTTCTTTTTGTTGTATTAAATGAATTTTGTGAAACTTGTCTAGCCTCTGGAAACGCTTTCTGGAACTCCCATTTTGTAAAAGTTGATTGAGTCCCTTTGTCCATGATCTGCTCTGTCCACTAACCCATCTGTTTATGAGTCTTATTAAACTTAAAGTTAGATGTAAGTGCTTTATTAAAGTTCAAAATTTGCTAAGCGTATATAAACTATGGCATTGATTTTCAACAATTGTTTTTCCTTCCCCCAGGCCTTCGACGACGCGATCGCGGAGCTGGACACACTCAACGAGGACTCATACAAGGACTCCACCCTTATCATGCAGCTGTTGAGGGACAACCTTACACTCTGGACTTCCGACACACAAGGAGATGCGGATGAACCACAAGAAGGTGGCGATAACTGAGCTTTCCTTCCTAATCCCCTCCATAATTAAGTTTCACAAAAAAATCAAGAAAACCGGAAAATGTCAGTCTTTGTACAAAAATTGTGTACCTCCCTTCTATGGTCCCCAAAGTCAATGTTCCCTCCCATGGCCTATGTTTCCTATCTGCTCTTTTTTATGGTCTTGTATCTCAGTGTCTCCTCCTCCTTTCCCATCAGACTCTTGGGTCTCTGAGGGGAATGTGACTGTTCTCCTCTGCAGGCTTAGCTGGTATGTTGGCTTGCACTTGAACATAGTTGCAGCTCTGAAAAGTAAAGCAGTTCAAGCAGTAATGGAGGGTAGGCCTACAGAAAACTCCAGCCCTTTGATTAGTGGTGTTTGGAATTATTTCTCAATTTCACTTCTACTTTTAAAATGGTTGTACTTTTCCCCTCATGAAACTTGCAGTTGGCTTGGTCAATGTAAACTTCAGAAAACCTGATACGCTTTAACCAGTCATCTCCTCTTTTCTCAGAGTTCGTCAATGTGTGTTCTTTCGGTCGAAATTACCTCAGAGACCACAGTAGTTTACCAGTTTATGTCATAAATGTTCCCTTTACCATATGAATGTACATTTTTTACTTGTAAGGTGTAAGCCCTTGTATGTGAATTTTAATCAGTTTGATGTTTCGGACCACAAAAATTAATAAAACATTCATCAAAGATTGTAACTCTTCAGTGTCTTCTTTTTTTATTTGACCTGTTTTGCAAAGTATGAGATTGTTCACATGCTGTCCTTTCCTGAAATTGTTCCTCTTGACCTGCATTAAATTGCTTTTATAAAAAAAATTGTTACTCGTGTGTCTATGGTAGTTCAAGGGTATCTTAAGGAACATGCTAAAGCTGGGAAAAGATTGGAGGAAGCATCCTTTCTAAGCTTTACCACTATTTTGAAGGAACAAGTTCTTGGACATAAACCTTAATTCTACCTGGAGGATCTGGTATATTCTGTGTGCTAGTTATTTGTATGTCAATTGTCTTCAGAATGTAAGTTTCTTCATTTCATTTGTGAAATGTTGTACTCATTCAAGCTAGACTTATCACTTTTAAACTGGAGTAGTTTTGCTGGATGTACATCATCTCATTGTGTTTGTATTTAAAGTATGCATTTTTTTAACATTTTTTTTAAAAATCTTTGTTTGACCTTTGGCTATGGAGTAGCGTGCATTGCAAAATGAATTTTAATGTCCAAAAGTAGCTTGTTTTATCGATTTTCAGTGTACTTCACTGACCAGGAAAGTTTTTGGATCTTACTGAGCAAGCTGGTCGGAGCATATTTGGAAACATTTACATTTTTTCTTAACTCTGGCAACATTGTTAAAGGAATAATGGGCAGTGTTCAGCAAGTGTTTGTCATTTCCATATGTGTGTGTGAGAGCAAGTCAAGGGCTTCTAGATGTTCCTTTCTATGCCTTTCTATTTTTTTACACTTTTGTTACTGCCCACTTAGTGCAGATTTTCATCTTGGATGTACGAACCTTTACTTACTTAGATTAGTTTCATTTGTTATTCTCCGAGGAAGAAAGGGAGAGGAGGCTGTTATGCGATCTAAACTGTCAAGAGCATCATTTTAATACACACCCATTATTTCTCGGTTTTTACATTTTATTTACAATAAAATGTTTCTTTTTTAGACGTTTTTATTTATTAAATAGCCCTATTCATGTGATTGGACATTGTCTTTCTGAACTTTTTAAATCACGTTCCAAAGCCCATTCCTTATTTTAAAACATTCAAATGCGTGATTTTGTCATTAAATCCAAGTGTGGTTTATGTGATAAGTTAGCTTCGATTAACTTGCCACAAATAAGAACTCAATCATGTAATGGGCGATCAGCATTATACATTTTATTTAATAATGTAACAATCATGAAGTGGAAATAAAACTTCAATCAGTAAACCTCAACAATGATTGCATTTTTAGCTTACAATGAATTTTTGTGATTGCACTGGCCAGAAAATAGTTTGGTTCTATTTGTTACATGTACGAATGTGAGAGTGTGTCAGTCTGATTGAGTGAGTGATTGAGTATAGATGAGTGTGTGCGTGTATATGTGAGGAAGCTTATGCAAGCTAACTGCCTGTCTTTGCTATTTCCGTGTTGTAGTTGCTGCTGCTGCTGGTCCTGCTATTTGGGTTTTGTTTAAGTTTCCTGCCCTCATGAAACTTATCCTGATCTCTTTCTGGCATTACATTTCTTTCAGTTCAATTTGCAACTGTGCCAAAATGTGTTTATTCTTGTCCAATGCACCCTTCAATTTTCATCTATTTGCTTACCCTTTTCTTATTATTATTCAAATGAAAATTGTGTGATGAGGCTGCTAGAACCATGTAGTATGGATTGAAGCTATTATATTCGTTTACCTGCAATGGAAATGAGGTGTTTGTAAATAAAACCAATCGTAATACCAATGCTAGTTGGCTTTTTACCTTTAACAAAAAAGCAGCTGCTGCTTGACCATTATTTTAACTTTGTCATAGATTTTGATAAACAACCAAACATTGGCATATCTTTCTTAAAAAGTTGGATTAGACACATGTCCATCGTGAAAGAGGTGTGGTAAAGCAATAACCGTAGCTGGTCTGATAATTCATATGATTTATAGTTTTAATTTGATTATCTCCGAACCTTAAAGGACGGTCCTAATTTACAGGGCAAAGCCAAACACATTAACTATGCAGCGAATAGTATCATTCTCCCATTGTACAGAGCACACTGCATCATTTGAGTTATCCCAATAGCAAGAGCTGGCTGAATGTACACCGGCACCATTCTTCTGCATAATGCTGCAGGTCACTTACAGAAAAGGAAAATAGATTAGAAAACAAATGTCAATCATGCACCCTCCCAAAAACGCACTTGTAAGCCCCACTCAAACACCATCATCACATGAGCATTTACTTGTATATTTGTAGGGCTTGTTCAGCTTATTTAGATTAGCAATGCAAGCTGAAGCTATGGTGCTTGACCAAATTGATGCCATTTCATTAGAAAAGGAATTTTCCCCAATAGCATTGTCGACGCACTCGTGAACGATAGAGCTGACTTCTTCATTGGAGAATCGTTGCTGTTGAAGAAAAGAAAGGGGCAAGTGGAGTAAATCACGAAATCAGCTCAGTGAAGTTCAAAGTATTAATTCTCACATCATCGTCAAGTTCAGTTGCCATCTAAAAATTGCTGCAAATATTCCAACAGAAAATATATTGTTACAGAACTGCTGTTCTACTGTTTCAAAGGGAGGTACCAAGGAGACTTCTAGGTCTCCTGGAAGTACAACAATGATAAGTTCTTATTATTATCATGCCATGAGTGCCACTAGCATATATCATAATATATCATATAACAAAACATCCATGCCCGTGCAAGTCTGTCACTTATTGGGATCCAGAATAAACTGCAAAAATAATCATCGGGTTTACCGATTGCTTTCAGTACTACTTTCACACTTTTCAAAACTTTCAAAATGTGTCAGAAAATAGACCCACTACGAATAAACCGCCGTTGCACTGTAACTGTGAAACTGTGGGCTTCCGGGAGCTACAGTCTGCTGTCAACAGCAACCTGCCGGCAAGAAGGGGTACCTAACCCAACCAGACCCAACTAAGTTTGTTGTTATTTTCCTATATTTTATTTTACATTGTTTGGGGTTTACTTGTGTCGTCTTTTGGGTTCAGTGTCTAGGTTTGTAACACATCTAATTTTCTTACAAAGGTGGAATCATTGTTATGTTGACACTGAAGCAAAATGTCAAAACTAATGCGATAAACACTTCTTGTTGGATAACTGTATCTCTGTTTTTGGTCTAGTTTTGACAGGGGTTTTTTCCTGGATATTTGTCCTGCTGAGTTAATAATAATTTGATATATGTTTGCCTTGTCTGCCCTCTACTTAGGTTATGTCTTCTTAGATTGGCTCATGATGAGTCGACTTCTAATAACCATCGTCCTGCAAGGGTTTCTGCTACAGCTTCAATTCGGAACCTCATTTTCTGAGCTTTCAGCATCCCTTTGTGGGCATGCCTTTCGCAATCGTTGCACATGTGGGAAGACAAGAATATCAGATGCTGAACCTGAAAGTTTTGTAGTCAACTGTACTAATGCAGGTTTCACCAATACCAGTGCCCTAGAACATTTGCCGATGGACACACAGGTATATTCCCAACTGCTCTCTGTTCCACTCTAATGTTTTCATTTTAACAATTGTTTTTATTTCTTCATTTTGCAGCATTTAATTTTTGTGGGAAACAATATTTCTGTTCTACCTGGGAATATTTTTGGCGATCAGGACCATACTCCAAACCTGAAAGTTGTAGATATGTCCAATAATGCCATCAAAGAAATCCGTGGAAAGGCTTATCATCATGTTTCCAGTGTTGAACAACTCTTTCTTGATCATAATGAGTTGTCATTATCTCCAATGAAAAGTGGTGTTGAGAATCATCGTCACCCTCGAATGTTTTCTAACTTTGTTAATTTAAGATCATTACACCTCACAAATGCTTTTAGAGATAATTCACCCTCCAACTTAGTAAATGACTTACATGACATTTTTGTTAATAGGTATGTGTAAGATCTTTTCTGAATTAATTTTAGACTATGAGCCATCAAAATATTTTTAAGTACTCTCTCTCTCTCTTTCTTTGCAGCAATCTGTCACTTCTGATAAAGTTGCATCTAGAGCAAAATGAGTTGACAGGATTCTCTGATCAGATGGTTTTCTGTGATCTACCATCCCTCATGGACCTTCATCTTGGAGATAATTTCTTACGTGGTCTCCATTTCAATATTACTTGTCTCCATCATTTAAGGTTCTTAGACCTTCAAAGGAATCGTATCACTCGTCTAAGTAAATCAGACTTGGCCATGCTTGATACATTTCCAGCCAGAGGTCAAAGCCTTACAGTTGATTTTAGCGGGAACCCATTCTGTGATTGTCAGGTGTGTATGAACTCTCATTCATTCTCTAGTCTTGTTTGCAATTAACCTCTTGCTTACTACAATTTAACTTCATTACTCTGCCTAACAGGATTTACTTGCTTGGCTGAAGACCACAAAAGTAATTGTTCGGAGGAAAGAATCTTTAAGCTGCACCCACTCCTCAGCTGCGCAAAGCAACAGTAAAGATGATGCGTACCAGCATGTGTCATGCACAACACTGCACACATCAGTAACTTCCACTTCTATTGATAATGCAGCACAAGGATTCCATAGTGGAACAGCATTGTCTTTAGTGCTGGTATCTTTAGCTATCATAGCATTTGCAATTCTCTTTATTTATCGGAAGAGAATTAACTTCAAACCCCGTGGTCAAGGCTCCTTGTTGGACACTGTGTCGCGGAAAGTTCAGTACACAACAATTGAGCACCATGAAGAGGAAGTTGATGTGTAAATATTATGAAATTCTGTGTGAACATTTTTCTTTTTATACACATAGTTGTGTTCTGGTCACCTTGCTCACATACCTAGGTATTGTGCTTCAAAATTGATGAAAAGTGATTGAAATTTTCAGTATGTGCAAAGTTACTTGTGCTGATGATAAGTTGGGTGATCCATTTAACTATGTAAAACTAGATTTGTTGAAGTTTTATGAATTTATTGTCAGCCTTTTGATATCTTTTTATTTTGAGATTGCTATAATTCTATCATCACTTTGTCATCAATCGCCTTCAAACTAGTAAGTGTTACACACTTGGCCCTTGCTTGGCCCTTGCTTGGCCCTGTTCTCATTATTGCCTTGAAGGATATTGAGGTAATGTCTTGTTTCAGTATTATACACATTAATATGCCATCCGTTCCTGGGTCCCTGTGATCCTGCCTCTCACAGCTGTCTATCAATCTATCTATCTAATTATCTAATACTACAAAGAAAAAATAGTTCAGTGACAGTAACCTGTATGCCAGAATTCTTACACATACAGTTTTTTTAAAAGTATTGTGAAATGTCTTTGACAGAGGCATTTGCTCTAAAATGATTGACTGATTTTGATAAGGTATGCTTAATTTTAATGTTAATGTGAGGTCCAAAGTCAAACCTATTTATTGAAATTATTCTTAAAATGGTATGTACATAATTACTGGTAAACAAATTTAGTGTGTTCTAATATTGTGTGTTTTTTGTGGATGGGAAAACCAGCAGTATGTCATCTCAGTGAAGTTATGCTGCTCTGAAAAAGATGAAATTTTCTCATTTGTCCACTAAAAGTGTACTTTTTCTTTTAATTTGTATTTGACTGTGATTAATCGGTGCAGCTTGTAAAGTAATTTTACTAAATTGATCTTTTTTTGTTTGTTAAGGATAAATTTGAGGGACCATTAATGTATTCCTAGCACCAAACAATTTTGTGCCATTTTGTACTTAGTACTCAGTATACTTTACTATTTACGTCAAGTGATGTAAGTCCAACGTTCTTAATATTTTTGGCTTGAAGCTTGAGTTGGAATCAGAACAAATGCAGATCTTCTGGAATGGAAAATGTTTTTAGTCCTGACAGATTCAGATATATTTTTTCAATATTAATAATACTTTTTTTTAAATATTATTACAACCTAATGTATCTGAATAACAGAAAATGTTAGAATAGTCCAATTCTATAACATTGTACTTTGGGTTGTATCTTATTTGGGGTAAATATATATTTTATACTTTGTTTCAAAGACAAATTTTGTTTTCATTTGAAATCATAGTCGGCAGGCCAGTCCCCATTGTGAGTACGTTGGAGACGTCCGTGTTTGTAGCTACAGGATTGTAGCTACAACCGACAGGGCCCGAGTCAGCTTAAACTGACCCGGCTATAGACGAACTCATTTCCTCCGCCAACGCTAAAATATCAACCAGAAGTAAACAGCGTTAAGAATTAGAGCGAAAGCGAAAAGAATCACTGCCTCTCCCCGAAGCTCTCGCCTTGTCCAAGCAGCACGGGGGCCTGGGGGGCCACAGAGCCTGCTTCAGGAACGCATTGCCTACCCTCCAGGCGTTTTCAGCGACATTCATGGATCTACTCCTGTTTGGACACGGCGTCAAGCCTTGGGTCTAAAGTAGCCTAATCAAAATGACCCAGTCCACCCAGTCACGACAGACGCCCAGAGAGAAGCCTACCTCGCAGGCGTCCGAGCTACAACTCGTGTCGCGGCGACAAGTGGTAGCGGGCGGCCGGGCTGGCTGGCTGGTGGGTTGGTTTGTTCTCTTGGTGTCGTGGCTTGGTTTCTTGTTTTATGTTCACTCGTGACGTAGCGCCGTGTGGTCGTCTGGTCGCCGGCGTTCTGCTGTGTTTAGGGACGCCGCTACCATCTTGACAGGACAGCGCAAGTTGCGGGGTGACCTCGCGTGTCACCCCCCGCGTTGGGGTGCATGTCTAGGTGCATGTCCTCGCGCCCCGCGGCCGTTGTCACCTCGCGGGGCACTCTCGGCCGTCGGCCGTCGCGATCGCGACCGTCGCGGTCCTCTCCTCCAGCTTCCCCTTCCTCCACCGCCTGGCGGCTGCCGTGGCGGCTGGCGGCGGAGCGGAGCGGCGAGCGGCTGGAGGCTGGAGGCCGGACCGGGGCTAGCTTCAGTTCAGTATTCAGTCTGGGAATCACTGATGAGCAGTGCCTCGGATCTCGCCGGCGCCGGCCCACTGGCCGGGCCTCCCGGGCCGACTCAACGAAATGCAAGTCCGTCAAGTTCAGTGTCAAGTGCAAAATGGTCCAATAAGTGAAAGTGTTGCAAAGCAAAGCGTGCATGTTTGTTTAGCCTAAGTGTAGTGCAGTGTAGTGAAGTAGTAGTAGTGCTCAAGTCTCAAGCTCTGCGTGGGTGTGGGTGGCACCCGCGCCCCGCTGTCTCCGCTGGACTCTGCGCTCCGTTAGTCTGGCTGGCTGGCGATCGACTCACGGTAGGCTCATCAGTGATTAGAGTCGAATAGGGCCTTTGTTGGCAGCTCAGCGTAAGGTCTCCCACATATTCATATGACACTCTGCGTCCTTCTAAACGGAGTCAGGCAAAGGGCATGGCGTTTCCGTGAGGGGAGGGGGTGGAGGGGCGAGGGGCATCTGCGCTCTGGAGTCCAGGCATGCGAGCTGTACGTATAAATAAGGCGTTTCGACCAAGCTGCTCGCTTTAACTGGCGAACTGACAACTTTACGAGAGTACAAGCTGACGAAAACTGCGTATCATCTGCTAAAAATTAGATTCTCATGATTCTCCTGATAGTCATCACTGACGGCGAGCGCGAGTCGTTGCTACGTCGCCCCTCCCTATTCAGCTTTGCACTTTTTCTTGGATCATACAAAATATATCTGAATGCGGAAGAGAATTAGACAACTCTAACCCTTTTTAGCAGATGATACCTTAAATACTTTAACTAAATATAAAGAAAACATAAGTAACTTTAAGGTGTCAGCAGGAAAGAGAACTAAGAGCAAAACCAGAAATCATTATTTGTGCGCTGGGGGAATAGTGTCCGGCTGGCTGGCTGAGTGTCGCGCCAAGACCCTTCCTTGCCCTGCCTAACAATACCGCGCCGGATTGGCCCCTTCCCTGACCAACAATACTGGGCCACCGCCGCCAGCCGTCCTGCCCTCCTCGTATATGTCCTC